TTCCTCAGAAGAAATTGATTAAAACTACTACACAAGATTACCAAATGTTGATATCCGCAGGAAATCTTTAAATTGCACAGAACTAAATTTCTTAAAACATTATTCTATCTGTGTTGCTGAAAATATAGCTGAGAAATCCATTAGCTCTGGGTATCTTTTCCATTTCCATAATTATTGTTATCTCTTCTTCTATTGTGAAGTGACTATTGGCATGAATTCCACTGGGAGCTACTTTTCCATCAGGATCAACTCACAGGTGCTGTCAAGTATAGAACTCCCTAGAGACCTCCCTGAGCATCTGCCCAGAAAAGGAAAGAAATGTGAGTCAGAAGAGCTATGCTAGCAGTGATGGTTGCTGTCCCCGTTGCAGCTATGCTTCCCCTAAACATTTCAGGACTCTTTTGACCTACAAAAACATCCCAGACAGAACACCCAGGTTTAGGTGTCTTTTTCATCCTTTCTTTCTCCCCTCTCCCAGAAACATGACCAGTGAGGGAATAAAATTCTTTCCCCTACTGACAATTATTTTCATTGAGTTTATCAGTTTAAGATAATTGATGTGAAAAAAAAAATGACCCATTTCTCCAAGGAAGATAAGTGAAGGAAAAAAAAAAACCTGATAAATCTTCTCCAAGAGAAGGGGATAGATTGTAAAATTACACCCATAAATGACATGGCTGTTCATCCATCAAGCTAACTAAGATTTAAAGGGTCTCTCAATTAGGAAACAAGAAAATGAAGGTTGAGCTTCCCTTATCCAAAATGCTTTGGACAAGAAGTGTTTCAGATTTTGCATTATTTACATACACATAATAATACATCTTAGGGATAGGACCCATGTGTATACATGAAATTCATTTATGGTTCATATATAACTTATATACATAGTCTGAAGGTAATTTTTACAACATTTTAATGCATTTGCATTTTCGCTGTGACCCATCACATGAGGTTAGGTGTGGAATTTTCCACTGGTGGTATCAAGTGGACACTCAAAAAGTTTTGGATTTGGGGCTGCGGGTGTAGCTCAGTGATAGAACACTTGCCTAACATGCATTAGGCCCTGGGTTTGATCTCCAACATTGCAAAACAATTTCTTTTTTAAGTTTTGGATTGGGGACTTTTATTTTTCAGATTAGGGATATACAAACACAATGGAGGAAATGAGGTTTGACACTGAAGGACTGCTTCTGTCCATTTCAGGGGACAAGTATTAGGATTTTTGGTCAATATAATGGACTGAGTACACACAGAAAAGATTGCCTTCTTCCCACTATCTTTTTCTAAACACAAAATCAGGATAAAATGCAACCTTCTAAAAATAAATTTAAATGCATAGTCCAGCTTACAAGTTTGGGAAAGGGGCCTAAAATAAAAAGGAAAGCAATGCCAGAGTGACAATTAAGAGCTGAAGTAGCATGTTTCAGGAGCACCCTACCCAAATGAAGGCCCTATTAACTGGGACTTGGAGTTTTAACACACACACTGAGACTAGAAACTGAGTGACAGGGTCATGGGAAAGGAAGCTCTTGCATACTATTAGCAGTTTCAAGTTCTAGCTTTGTCATGAATCTCTGAACTGAAAAACTCTCCCTATTTGCTCAGGGAAGAAACAAGAAGATTTCTGTCTACTCCAGTCCCTGCACAAAGAAGCCATTGCAATAAATCAAATTGGAGAGGTGAGGTCTGAATTTACAATTTGGATATAATTTCAAAAAACTCCAAGCTCAGAAATTAATATAAATGTTCTTCTAACTGGCAAAACCACTAGAAATACAGCACAGGTCCATGCAAAATTATTTTATAGACATTTCTTTGTCTTGTTGTGAATTAAATTGTGTCCACTGCCTCCCTACCCAAATTCATATGTTGAAGCCCTATCTCCCAATATGACCGTATTTGAAGATAGGGCTGTTATGGAGGTAATTAAGGTTGAATGAGGTCATAATGACTGGTGTCCTTATAAGAGGAAGAAGTGACACAAGGGATGTGTGTGCACACAGGAAAGGCCACATGAGGACACAATGAGATGGCTGCAGTCTGCAAGCCAAGGAGTGAGGCCTTAGAAGAAACCAACCTTGCTGACACCTTGATGGTAGACTGTCAGCTTTCTGAATTGGAAAAAAAACAAATGTCACTTGTTTAAGCCACCTAGTCCATAATATTTTGTTATGACAGCCCTAGGAAACTAAGACACTCCAGAATATATATGGTACCTTCCCTGAAGATAAATTTACACACAAAAAAATTCATAGATCTCAAAAAGAAAGGGAGTTTCACAAAGAACAAGAGGAGAATCTGCACTCCCCAGAACTGAAATAATAGAATCAACTATAGATTATAAAATAACATTGCTTAAAATGTTTAAAGAATCAAAGAGGGTAAAGAAACCATAAATAGAGTATAAGGTTATCTGGGTGTGGTGACAGACACCTGCAATCCCAGTAATTTGGGAGGCTTCGGCAGTAGAATCACAAGTTCAAGGCCAGCCTTAGCAATTTAGCAAGAAAGATTCTGTTTAAGAAAAAAAAAAGGCAAGGGAGATGGGGTTATAGTTCAGTGATACAGCACTTAGGTTCAATCCCTCATACAACTAAAAGAAAAAAGTATAGGATAATGTGAGAACAGAGTATGTTTTTGAAAGAGAACTGTATATAAATCCTGAAATTAAGAACACATTGGGCCAAGCACGGTGGCAGCGCTTGCCTGTAATCTCAGCAACTCTAGAGGCTGAGGCAGGAGACTCAAGAGTTCAAAGCCAGCCTCAGCAAAAGTGAGGCACTAACCTGTCTCTAAATAAGATACAAAATAGATCAGGGGATGTGGTTCAGTAGTCGAGGGCCCCTGAATTCAATCCCCGGTACCAAAAAAAAAAAAAAAAAACCCACATTGGGAAAATAGCATTTTAGTATTAGGCCCAGCTGAAAAGAAATTTACTGAATTAAAATATAAATCTAAAAATGTATATAGCACAGAAATGAAAATAGCACAGAACAGCTAATACACATGAAGAAGAGAATGAGAAATCCTAAAATATGCATAGTAACTATTATAAAAGAAAAAAAATAAAAGGAGGCAGTATTTGAAAAGATAAAGGCTGACAATTTCCTGACTATAAAAAAGAAGTTATCTTCAGATTAAAGAAACATATCAGGACCCGAACAGGAAAAATAAAAACCAAATTACACCTAAGCATATTGTAATGAGATAGCAAATTATCCAAAGCAAAAACAATCTTAAAAGACACCAGGTTATTTGTCAAAGAATGACAGTTACTCTAGAAGGGTGAAGAAAATTGTCTCAACACCAATAGAAATCAAATGACAATGAGATGTTATTTCAAAGTTCTGAGAAAAAAAAATTGTCTTCCTAGAATTCTACACCAAATTACACTATTCTTTTAAAATAAGAACAAAAGGAAGATGTTTCAGACAGGCAAATTTAGCATTCAAAGAATTCCCTGAAATAACTGGTCAAAAATGTACTATAGGAAGCCAGGAGTGGTAGCACATGGCTATATTCCTAATTATTTTAAAGACTGAGGCAGGAGGATAGCCTGAGCCCAGGTATTCTAGGGGAACACTGTGAGATGCCATCTCAAAAACAAACAAAAAATGTTTCATAAGAAGAATAAATTTTTGTGTAATGCAAGAAGCACATGGTAATTACATTGATAAATCTAAATATTTACTATAAAAATAATAATACTGAGTAATGAGATGGGGATTAGGGTAAAAAGAAGATGGAATTAAAGTACCAGAAAACAATAATACAGAAACGCAAAGATTTATTTTGAAGATCTTTTTATTGCTAAAGTGAAGGACAGAAATATTAATTGATTTTAAAATCTAAATAAATATCTGTGTTAAAATTTGAGAATAACAAATAGATAATTTGTTAAGTTAATGGCAGGGGTAAGGAAAAAAAATAATGAAAACCCTGATGAAATGAATGGAAGTCAGGAAGGAATTGGGAAAAAAAAACATGATAAATGAAAAAAACAGGGTTACATGTTAGGGAAAAACCCTCAATATATCTGTGAACATCATAAATGTAAATGGATTACATTTGTCTATTAAAACACAGAGACCAGCTGGGTGTGGTGGCGCACACCTGTAATCCCAGCGGTTTGGGAGGCCAGGACAGGAGGACCAAGGGTTCAAAGCCAGCCTCAGCAACAGTGAGGTGCTAAGCAATTCAGTGAGACCCTGTCTCTAAATAAAATACAAAATAGGTCTGAGGATGTGGCTCAGTGGTTGAGTGCCCCTGAGTTCAATCCCTGGTTCAACCCCACCACCACCAAAAAAAAGTACAGAGACTCTCAGACTTCATTTACCAAATCCAGCTAGATGTTGCTCCAACTCTTTCTGGACTACATTTTTTCTGATGAGAAGGTAGTTGGCTGTCATTTTGGTCTTTGCTACTCTATACACAATATATCTTTTTCTCTGTTTTGCTTACAAGTTCTTTAAAATTAGTGTTAGGACTTTAAGCATTTTGTTTATGAAATTAAGGTGGGACTTATCCCCTAATCTTAACACAATCTTATTATATCAGTAGAGATATATACAAATTATTATTAAAAGAACATAAATAAACACAACTTAAAAGAACTTTCCAGGTATAATAATTTAGATACAGGCATAAATTATTAAAATCACAGAATTCATATAAGAAAAAGAGAAAAATTAGGCCAGAAAATGCTCACTTTATAAACATATCTGTACAAAGTGCATAAGGCACGGAAAGCTAAATACTCCTGAGTTATCACCAAGTCTTACCTAGATTTTGGGGTATTTGCAGTTTCAACCCAGGTCAAACTGGTGACCAATTAGTAAGCTTCCAACTCTCACCTAGGTACATTTTTTTGTAAATTGGTCCATACATTCCAAAGGCCTTTGTGGATTTTAAGCCAGATGGTACTGTGGTGCACACCTCCAAAATGGGCCTTTGTGTCAGCAAGGGGCAGTGGTGGAGAGAAAAAAGGGTATAGAGGAAAGGACTTGATACAGTTTTTTAATTCTCATCTCCCTTAAAAACAGAATCACAGAGATGGGGGAAAATATACTTAAGTCTATCTACTCCTTAAACAAATGCCTTAGCAGCACTGCTTTTTCTCCAAAAAGCACACGAAACTAGAACTAAGCATAGTTAACTCCAACAAATGGATACAGGAAAATGCATGCCTTCTGCAGTGAGACCTGATATGACTACATTCAGTTATTCCTTTCTCTACTCTGGATATGGAGCATAGCATGGAGTGCTGACTCTGCTTTCCATGGCACCTCCAGGCTGAACAATGGACCCATGAAACTTCTACTCCTCAACTGTGGGTATTCCAGGCCCAGGGGAATTTGATGCCAGAGATCTTGGGCTTCCAGGAGGGCAAGGCAGAGATAAGAAGCAGTAAGTCACATCCCAGATATGGGACAGACTCTCATACTTGCCTGGAAAAAAAGAGAGAACATAAGTTACTATAGCTTAGAAGATTTTCCTATTCTGGAAGGGACCTACAACACTGCAGAAGCTCTTCTGGTGCAAAACCTCAGGGGAGTGACATTCAAGCCTGTCTGGGTCAGCTTGCCATGGGAGAACCACCAGAGCTCAGATCCAACAACAGAAGCCTCTGCCTCAAAGTCTATATCACATGAGACCCTGTGATCATTGCAGGACTGTACAAAGTTGGGGGGAAATATTATAGTGATAACCAGGAGCAAGTTTTTAACAACCTCTAGAGAATGTGAAATTGGGGGTTCATTTACTATGATTTTTAAAAATGAAATAGTCCATGCATCATGGTTTGAACATAGTAGTAGAATTAAATCTATATGAACTATACACATTTATACAACTACAGAATTATAGGCTATTTAGACTAATGTTTTGCAAACTGTAAGTTGATATCTACTAGTAGCCACAGAAATCGATTTAATGAATCTCCACCAGACACTTTTCATTAAATGGAATGGAAAATAAGTGAAACTATTCCAGCGTTGTTTTGGAATTTATTTTTTCAGTTATAAATGGTATGTGTGTACAAGTTAGAATGTAAATTATTTTATATTCTGGGTCATGATCAAAAACTGAAACTGAGAAGCACTGGATTAGACCACATTGTTTTGAATAAATAATTTCCCCTTTGCCACTTAGAGGCAGCTTTTATCTATAGGAGTAAATATATAGGCTAATAATTCCCAATTTGGATCCTTAAAAGAAGTATAGTCCTTTGTCATCTATCAGTATCCACAGGGGCTTGGTTCCAAGAGGATACCAAAATCCTTGGATACTGAAGTTCCTTATATAAAGTATGTAGTGTATGCATGTAACCTATACACATACTCCTGTATACTTTTATATCATCTCTAAATTAATAATATAATGTAAATTCTATGTAAATAGTTATTATACTGTATTATTTAGGGACTAGTAGCAAGAGAAAATTTTACTTGTTCAATAAAGACACATTTTTCCAAATATTTTTGATCTGTGGTTGGTCTGATCCACAGATGTAGTATCTGTGCATACAAAGGGCCAACTCTAATGAGAATATTAGAAGCTATTTTCAGTAATATTAGCCACCACTTAAGCACACCTTAGACAAGAGACATATGGGTTATATCATCTCCATTTTTTTTTGCTTTAGTAAAGGTAAACTCATTTATTAAGTTGAAGAACTGAATTTTAAATTCAAGTTCTTCTGACTCCAAAAAAACAAGGGTAAGAGTATGCAATAGAGCCTAGGATTAATACAGGCCTTTTTCAATATGGCAACTAAAAATGGAGTAGCCCATTTGTTCTAGTTTGAAGGTTATAGTAGAACTAAATCTATGTGCACTACGCATATTTATACAACTACACTTATTTATTTAGCACTACACATATTTATGTAACAAGTCTATTTAGATCAGTGTTTTGCAACCTATGGGTTGAGACCCCCTCGCTATACACTATATAGCTCATCTTTCAATAATTCATAAAACTTACTAAAATAATAAGTACCTAAACAAGGATTCTCAGTCTCCCCACCAAAAACAAAAACCCAAGTTTGAGAATAATTTGTAATGTTGGCTAATTCACATAAAAAATCAAGTAATAAGAATATGTAAAATATTTTATAAAACAAGTAGTAAAATAAAAATACAAGGTACTATTGAAGTCAGATGAGACCATTTTGGTGTCTTTTCCTCTACTCTCTCAGCTCCAATAAATTCATCTCCCTTCCACAGCAGGAGAATTAGGATTAGCCTAAAGACACCTGCTGGCAACCTCTCTCTGAAACTTTCTGTAGGAACAGGAAACTGCTCTGTGGTCTTTTGCTTCCTCCTACTTCCTCCTGCTTTGCTGCTGTCTGCTTTATTGGTCTTTCCTCTGCTGCCTTCATTTCCTTTGTTTAAAGGCATAGGTCAAAGTCCTTCCCTCTATCTCTGAGTAACTGCATGTTTCTTTTCTAACAGAAAAAGAAAAGCAAGAGTCAAGTTCATGGCCTATGTGTGCACATTCCTGTATTAATCCCAGGCTCCGTAGCACATTCTTATCCTTGTTTTTCGTTTTTCTTCCTTTTCTACTTCAATTTTAGAACTCCTTGCTAGTATATATATATATATATATATATATATATATATATATATATATATATATATATATCCTTTTAGGAACAAGAAAGACTAATGTTTTATTTAATTTTTACTTTTAATACACACATATACTTATGGGGCACAGTCTAAGCAATAATTTTTTTAAATTTATGAATCCACGTAGTTCAGTGTCCCAGGTTTTCTAAATCACTCCTGTCTTTCTCTTGGTGTTTAGTGGTTTCATGGAATAGATCTCCAAGCATGGAAAAATCACTGAGTCATCGTGGCTATTTACAGTCATGTATCCATTACAAGCCTGTTTTATTTTGACAACATTTCATCTTTTTTTCTTCTGTACCCAGGAACAATTAGAGGTCCAAGAATTAAACTGATAGTTCCTACATGAGCACTCTCTTGCTCACATGATGAATTCCCAGATAGCTTCATTCTCAGAGCAATTTTTTCATTTGCTTCTGACAATGTGCCTTCAAAAGTCCTGAGAACATGTAACAAAAAATCTTATCCTTATGTACGGCTATGATGCACCAATTTTAAAAATGTGGGGGGAAAAAGTTCTTAGGACATCAGTAAGATTCTTTCATCACTGAATTTTTATTTTTGTCCTCCTTCTATTGGCTTTGAAGTGTTGCCTCCCTTGATTTTTGTCCTCAGTTTTGAGCCAAAGGATATTTACTTAAGGAAGAAGGAAATCTACAACACTATAAAAAAGGAAGAGTCCTCAGGAGGACACTTCCTCGGCACTTACTATAGACTCAACATAGTCCTCAGTGAAAAAAAAAACAGGACCACCCTGCCTAGCCTCCTGCGGATGTGTCTTCCACTGGGTTCTGCTCACACAGATCTGAGCCCATCTAATACATTTACGGACGCTTGTTAGATGCTAGGGAAATGGCAGGTCCATTTCCTGTTGGACTGTGCCTCCCAGTCAGCAGTGGTTTGCTGCCTCAAAGTGCAGTTTCCCTTTCATGTAACCAAAGGTGCACACAAAGCAGGTTTCTGCTGCAGAAAAGGATAAGGTTAAACATGAAGAGGGGAAGGAGGACTTCCCTGAGGTATCTGCTATACACATTTGAGGGCTCGAAGGCCACCTGCCAAACACGAATCTCTTAAGGGAACAGTCATGAAGATACAAAGTCCTTTCCCATCTCACGTTGCCAGCACAGTGGTGCTGTACCATTAAGTTGGCACTCTGTTTTCATTTCCCAAAGGGTCTTCTCTTCAGGTTCCCTCCTAACTGCCAGGACTCATCCACATAGGCAACATTACCTTGGCAAACTGTCTTTGGTGGAAGGCTTTTCTTCTTGGTCTGTGAGTCAGGGGTGGCTCACACACAGGCACCATGCAGCAGCCTTCAGTGCTGTAAGGACATGAGGTTTCATCTTCCCTTTGCCACCCCAGTGGGAGTGGGGGACACAGTTTCTGAAACTTGGGCGAATGCAGTTCAATTTACAGTGCAAGAGGACTGAAATGCAAATCACCTTAGCATTATGAGGGCATAAGCAGAGAGCGAGAACTGGCTGCAATGTAAAAAAAATTCAGACACAAAAAACATCTATTCCCAGACAGAAAGAAGTGAGCAGCCTGCAACACACCAAGACCCCGAGTGAATAAAAACTTTGCCTTTAGTCACTGGTTCTCATCGTTTCCTTAGATGAACTGAAGACAGATTCCAGAATTTACTGTATATATACAGCTGGCCCTCTGTATTCATGGGTTCCATGTCCACATGCCAACCATCTATCAAAAATATTTTAAAAATTTTCATCTGTATTGAACATTCACTGACTTCTTTTCATGACATTATTCCCTAAACAATACAGTGTAACAACTATCTACATAGCATTTCCATTGTCTTAAGTATTATAAGTAATCTAGGAATAATTTAAAGTATAGAGGAGGATGTGTGAAGGTTATATGCCACTACTAAGCCATTTTATATAAGGACTTGAGCATCTGCAGATTTATGTATCCACAAGGGACCCTAGATCAAATCCCCCACAGATACTGAGTAATGACTATAATTTATAGTTCATCATAGATAAGTAAACTCATGATTCTGATACTAGAGAATTGATTCAGCCTTTAAAAAAATTACATCATCTTCATAAAGTTCTGCATTTGTAAAGTTACCAGAGATACTTGAAACTAAATAGGCCCTACCTTTGAAATAATTATTAATAATTTTATTTCATGAAAGATAATACATTCGTTTATTTAGGTATCAAGTCCACATAAAATGATTTTCATTAAGAATTTTGACAAATCACCCTGTCCCAAATCTTCTCTGCACCCATAACCAATTTTATTACATCATATATCCTTCCAGCATATAAATATGCAAACATAAATTTAAAAATATACTTATATTATAGTCAGAATAATGTTCCCCCCCAAAGATGTCCATGCCCTAATTCCCAGAACCTGTGAATTTATTTCTTCACATGGCAAATGGGACTTTGCAGATATAATTAAATTAAGGTTTTTGAGATGCAGAGATTAGTCTAGATTATTCAGGTGAACCCCGCATCATCACAGGGGTCTTTATAAAAAAGTCAGAGTCAGAGAAGAGACAGAGAAACTAGAAGATGCTGGCTTTGAAGATGGAGGGAGAGTCTATGAGATAAAGAAAGCTGGTTGTCTCTAACAGCCACAGAAGGTAAGAAATTCTTCCCCAGATTGCCCAGGAATGCAGCCTGCTAACACCAACTTTAAACTTTTGAATTCCAGAGCTAGCAGAGAATAAGTTAGTGCTCTTTTAAAGCACTAAGTTTGTGGTAATTGTTTTAAAAACAAGAGGAAACTAATAGCCCTTAACTACACCTTTCTCTTAAAAGATAGTATACCCTGGATAG